GCACCCAGTCCAGCTGGTAGAAAGGAATTGAAAGAGCTGTACAAAGTGGAAGGCTTTTATAGGCAGAAAGGGGCAGGCAAAGGAAATTTCTAGCACAGAGTAGATTGTTTCTGGCAAGGTCACCTTTGGGGGTATAGCAAGGATCTAGGAAACAAATAGTCTCATTACTGCTGACCAGTTAATTCCAGATTGACTGGCTTAAGATCCCATTCCTGGGAGAAACTGAAACTGCAATTAGGTTAGGTATTAAGTTCTAGTGTAGTGATGTGGGGCCTAGCATAAGTGACTCCAATTTAGTCCTATTATCTCTTTTTAAAGTACCATCCTCTTAGAAAGGATTCCCTTAGTGCTCAGGTAACTTGATAAGAACTGGAGACCTGACATTCTCAAATCCCAATCTTGTTTGTAAGGAGTTTGGAGAAAGGCCACCCCATACACTTCACACATGGAAGGCTGCTGCCAAACATGGCGGGGAGTGGGTGGGTGGGTGTAACAGGTGTGGGAGGGGAGGGAGAGGCAGGGGAGAAACTGGCTGATGTATCAGTTCCTGGGAGATAGGTTACATGGCATGGGGGTGATTAACTACCTTTTCAAGTCTTTGCAGATCTGACACCCCTTGCCTAATATTGCCTAAGGACCGGATGTAGACCAGTGCTTTTCAAACATAACTGTGCCTACAGATGCCTGCAGGACCTTTTTAGGGTACAGATTTGGGTTCAGTAGGCCTGGTGGGACCTACATCCCCATTTCTAATGAGGTCCCAGGTTGTTAGATGTGGCAAGTCCATAGACCTCATTTAGAGGGAGGATTCCAGTTCACCCAGAGTCACCCCCAGGGCTACCCCCGGGATTCATTGAGTCAGCATTTCCTTGCGGGGGGGGGGGGCTATTTCCTCTGCTACCTAGCTGAGTAGGAACAAGCATTTGGTGGTGGTTTTATTTCTGGACGAGTAACTTCTAGTGAGCTAAGGAAAAGCTGCTTTCCCTGACTTGAGGGAATAAAACCCGCAAGCTCCAGTTGTTGAGGTATAGGCACAGGGCCAATGTTTTTCTCATTCTAAGCACCTCGGCACCCTATTATTGCATAGCAGATTATTCCCACAGTTAGTAACTTGAAAAAGCCACTTCATTTTACTCATAGTTTTGTGGGGGCAGGATTTCAGGAAGGGGTATGCTGGGTGGTTTTGAGAGATGCTGGCTTGGGATCTCTCAACATGGCTGTAGTTAGCTGTTAATGGGGCTGCAGTCACCTGAAGGTTCACCCAGGCTGGAGGTCTCATGTGGTGCACTTACGTGACTGGCAGTGGTCGCTGGCTGTCAGCAGGGGGCACTGTTGGGTTTGACACAGGAGTTGGCGTGGCCTGTGGGCTTCTCACAGTGTGGCAAGTGGAGTCCAAGAGTGTGTGTCCTAAGGGGCATCTAGAGAGCAGACAACCTTAGTAAAAGCCACAAGGCTGCTTCTGACGTCATCTAGGAAGTCAGCCAGCATCACACCCTGTTCTGTTTGCTACTAGCAAGTCACTGAGGCCAACCCAGATTCCAGGGGATGGGAATGGTGCCCATCTTTAATTCGCCACAGTCTCCCTCTCCAAATTGAGTAGGCAGGAATGGTATTCCATTTGCTCTGGGACTATAGATACGGGACTACATGTGACTTTTCTCATGCACAGTGACGCTTTCGTGTGGGCTGTGGATCTGTTCTGATTCCTCAGCCACAGTAGAGGTTTGTTTGAGGCCCAGGTAGAGAAGGTCAGGGCATTCCTATGGGAGAAAGATGTTGAGAAATAGTCTGAGCATCTATATTTGGCTTTTAGACTCTCATTGAGGTTTATTTTGCAGTTAAAAATCACTTCAAGTAAAGCCAGAGTTAGCAAGGGTATGAATTAAGCTTTATAGCATTCTGCTCATCAGAACTATATGTCAGAATTCTCCAGCAAAACTGGATGAAAAGACGGAGCTTAAATGAAATAGACGGTTCCCATTACTCATCATCATTCTAATATTGCCCACTACTGTTGAAAGTTTCCTTCATTAACATGTGCTTTGCTGCTTCTTAAAATAGCTCCATAACCAAACGCCACAATTCTGAAAAGGATGAGAAAAAAGGTTCTCTGATCATGCTCATTAAGGAATATTTTTAGCAGAGCAATAATTAGGATTTGGAGGAAGCCGGGTGCCTCATTATGTCAGTGGAGGGCTTGGCTTCTTTCAGAGACCCACCTCCCAGGCAGCCAAAGCAAATCTCTCCCAGACCCCAGTTCAGTTATTCAGTCACAGAGACCTCACACTGTGACTTCAAGGAAAGGGCGAGCTCTTGTCGTCCATTTCTAAATGACTTGCTAAAGTCTGTTGGTAGCTAGCGAGTCTTCTAAACATTTCAGCAGGCAACGGTGTGGGTGAAATAGCTTCGTGCTGAAAGATGGGATAGACTATTCTCCAGAAAACTCCCTGTGGCCCCCATCAAGCTGGCCATGTTGTCTCAAGCTCCCAGACTTGGGACCACTCAGGATTCTCTGCCCAGTGGATCCCCACAGCAGCTAGGTCTGTGGGTGCTATTATATCCACACCTTTAGGTTTCCATTTGTCGCCTGTGTTTGATTCCACCTTTTTAGAATGTGATACAAAAAGCTTTTGTCCACTGGTAGACTCTGTCCTCTGAGCCACAGAATATTAGAAACTGGGTGTTTTATTTCTAACAGCAGCAGTACCACCCCCTGCTCACACTTGTGCCTGTGCAGATGCCATCAAAAGAAAGTTCCAAAGGGACGCCCGAAGAGGGGCCACAGACTGGAAAGTTCACCAGTGTCGATAGCATCAGGGAGAACTGGATTTGGAAGGGTACTTGGAGCTCAATATCCACCCACTCATTCATGCAACAAATATTTCCAGAGTGCCTGCAGTCACCTGGTGCTGAGAATAGAGCGCGGGGCAGGTGGCAATACTTTATCTCTACCTTGTGTGGCTGGATCAAGGCATGGTTGGCTGGTGGCAGTGAGGACAGAGCCCCCTGCAGGTTTGCAGCACTGGTTGGGGCGGGGGTGGGGGTGGGGCTTGACTTAGGGAGTGGCGCCTGGAGACAACCTGAGATGAAAATGGAGTGGAGCGCAGGCATGAGCCGCTCCAGGCCCAAGGTAAGGATTTGAATCTAAATAGAGAGACAGTAAACAGCCACTGATGGATGGAGCAGGCTTGAATTTTGAAAGACTGCTCTGTGGATCTTGCTATGTGGACAGTGAATTGAGGGACAAACAAACCACAGGAGACTGGTTTGGAGGCTCTTGCTGTAATCTTTATGTTTGATGGTGTTATGATGGCTTAGGTGGAGGCTAGAGAAAGTAGATGGATTGGGTAGATATGGCGGAAGTAGATTGGCAATTGGAAGGAAACTGAGCATGGGGAGTGAGGGAGAGGGAAGTAGCCTGTCAGTCCCAGGTCATCCTATCCAGCTACCTCATTTCTCAGCCGAGGAGACTAAGTTTAAATAATGTGCCTTCAGGGGTTTGAGTGACTTGCCCAAGTCTGCAAACCGAGAACCCAGCGCCCTTGCCTGCAGGCTGTGTCCTTCATGCTGTCCCATGCCTGATGTCTCCAACTGAGTGCCCATGACCCTAAGTGGATCAGGACTATGTGCTGTGTATACACAGTGGAATACTACTCAGCTATAAATAAGATAACTCGCCAATTGCAGCAACCCAGATCAAGCTGGAGGGGGTGGTGCTAAGTGAAATAAGTTAGAACGAGAAAGACAAGGACCAGATGATGTCTCTTCTATGTGGACTATAGGGAAACCAAAGAAAGGGTCAGATAAAGCCAAACTAACAGCAAACCCCAAAAGCTGACTGTAGATCTGAGGGCACCAGAGCGGGAGGGCAGGGAGGGTGGGCGAGAGCAAAGTGGGAAGGAAGGAGAAAGGACTTTGGGGATGGACTGTGGGTAGCTTTGTGGTGGGTGTGGAGGAGTAACAACACCTGAAGGGGGAGCCCCTATATCTCTAAAATACAAGTAATGATGTAAACCGAATAGGAACAAGATTAAAAAGAAATCTCAGTTGCTAATACCTTACAGTGTTAATTCAGCTCACAATAGAAGTGTGTGCCTAAACCAGATTCTTGTCCGTGATAACATCTGTGATCTCTTTGTAGTCCTGTATTGGTACACTCAGATATATTTTTAAGGGCTTCAAAGGAAGTTCTATTAGAACTTGGCATCCTTTGTACTTGTTTATTTTTACTCAGTCCCACGGATTCTAGATGAAAGGGTCTTCGGTGAAACTACCATCCAGAGAAGATTGCCTTTAAGGGGATAAAATCATCTGGCACCCCACAGGCATGTCTTAAGATCAGAGACTACAAAAATAGTACACTTTCTTCTTGCCCTCAGTGTAACGTGATGCAGACGTCCTGGGGAAGAAGGCAAGTTGCCATGATCCAGCTCATTCATTGACTCAGTTGTTATTCTCCATTCATGTCCTCAGTTAACGTGCATGCACTGAGCAGTTGGCACGTGTGAGACACAGGAGAACTGAGCTGGTACTGGGGATGCTTGCAGAGAAAGTTCCCTTTCCGCAGGAAGACGGATATTTTAAAAACTGTCATTAATAGGAGGCAAGGTTCGGTCCTAAATGTAGTAGACTCTGCTGGGTCATGTCAGCAAACATTGCCCAGATGCATCATCTGGAAGCGGCACCTGTCAGGGTGCGGGGTCACTCTGCGGTTGGGGTAGGCAGGGCAGAAAGGAAGGGCTTGGTGTGAGCAAATGCCAGGCAGGGACTGGGCGAGTGTGTGGTGCACACAGGGAAGAAGAGGTCCAGGTTGATGAACACACAACAGTCCTGGCAGGGAGGAAATCTCCAGAACTTGACTTGCAAGAGGAAGCTGGGGCCAGATGTGAAAGCTTTCCTGACACAGCCAGCAGCTGCAGCTGGAGAGGAAAGCCATCCAAGAAGATGCCATAACCACAGCCATCTTAGTTTGTCCTAAATCTTCTTTCTTCTTTCAACAGGAATGTTTGTTCCAACTCAAAGAACAGAAGGCATCTCAACATCTGACATCATTACCAGAATCGTCCGTGACTATGATGTTTATGCTCGACGTAACCTCCAGAGAGGGTACACAGCCAAGGAACTGAATGTCAGCTTCATAAACGTAAGAGCCGCCCTGTCCCCCCTGAGGACCACCACGTCACACCACCGCTGTTGTTTGTTGAGTGCTTACTGTATGCCACGCAGTGTCTGTGCTATATAACATTTTTTCATTCAGTCCTCATACCAACCCAAGGAGTCTTATTACCCCATTTTACAGATGGAGAAACCAATGTCCAAAGAGGTGACCTAAGTTAACCAAGACACACAGGTAGTGAGCTTCCTGTTTCACTCAGGAACTGCTTCCCCTTCCTCTCCTCACCCCAACCTCCCTCTCTCGAGTTTTGGGGTTGGGTGAAGGGTTTCTGGGAGATCTGCCCTCATGAAAGGCAAGAGTTATCTTTTGCTCAAAGGGAAGAAAGGAGGGCAGAGGTAATGAAAAGCTAAACGCTGAGAAAATGCTTTCTTGTTTTAACATTTTAAACTTTCATTATACTAAGGCCTTGCAGATGCTCATTAGAAACCTTAACAGCCGCTTTTTATTGTCCAGAGAAATTACAGCTGCTTAAATAAAGCCAAGTCATTGGCTTCCTTTTGTGTTTCTACCATATTGTTCCCACAGAGCTGCTGTTAGTTTAATAATAGAGCAACTGTTAAAACAATCTTTAAAACAAGCAAAACAAGCCGGTAAAAGAAAGAGGGCAGTGCAGTTGCTTAAGGTGATGTGAGCTGGGGCGACTGTATTTACCTGGACCTGGGGAAGCTGATGGTGTTGAGTAAAACGAGAACTCTCCATATGCACAGGACTTCGACCCCACCCCCAAATGATGCTGTGTTTTCAAAGGGTGATTTTCCTACAAAGCTAGATTATTTATAATTATGTGCAGGCATCGTTATCCAGCGGTCTATCCAAAGGGTCATTGTTACCTTCAAAATAGGAGGGGTTCGTTCATTGTCAATCAGCGGTTTTCCGTTGTCCCCACGAGGCAGGAGTGCTGAGGGTCCAGACCCTGGCTCTCTACGAGCAGGGCGACAAAAATGGGAAATATCTGGTTCAAGTGGCACCAGATCAAGTGGCTGAAAAGAATTCAAAGTGATTATTTGGGCTCTTCTGGAGAATAAAGCCCTGGTTATTTCAATAAATTAAACTGTCTGCTCTTTTAAATTGAATTCAGTCAACCCTCCAAGCATGTCGAGTCATTCCCAAAAGTTATTGCTCACTCTCTCAGCAGCCTGTAGATAAGCCACTTAGCTCGGGGCACTGTGTAGTCGGCGTGGATGTGCTCGTTGCTCTTCCGTGCCGCCAGGGCTGGCTGTAGCTCAGAGATGAAATCAGATGGTATTGGCTGGGTGTGTAATCAATAACAGAACGTCAGAGGTGGCAGGGGCCTGAAGAGGGTCAGTCAACAATCCAAGTCCCCCCATTTAGAAACGAGGAAAGCTGAACTCGGAAAGGGAACCTGGCTGAAGTCCTTTAAGTAACGTAGGGGTGGCGGTGATATTGGGTTGTTGGAAAAGTCGTGTTGTATTTTTTCTGTGTTCCTTTTTTTTTAAAAAAAAGCTTTATTTTATTTATGCATACAAGAGCTGGGGTGTAGACTAGAGGTGTGGGGGGTGAGCGGATTCACCAGACACAGAGTGGGGAGCAGAACAGGTGGATCTACTGAAATACACTGCTGAGGGGAGCGGCAGGTGAGACAGGAGAGGTCTGCTGAGCCATGTGGGTCAGCTCCCTGGCCGGGGATCGAACTCATGCTACAGTGGCTACATCTAGCTTTCTAGTGCTGATACTTAACCCCTTGAGCCACCAGGGAGGTCCCCTTTTCTGTTTTCTATGCAAAAAATGCATCATGACTTTTACAACAACCCAATATCAGCCTGTCAGTCTCGTGGCACCCAGGTCAGTGCTCATTCTATGCTTCCACACCCCTCGGAGCTGTGCATCACAACCATTTCTGCTGTGGCATAAACTCTGGAAGAGAACGATCCAAGGACCATAGTGAAGACTTAGAGTTTTTTGGGTGCCTATTGTGTTTTGCGTGGATTCTTATTTTTTGTTGTTGTTCTGATAGATGTGAATTCAACTCGGACATTTAAAAGAGAACATTAAAACCACTTCTGCTTCCCTTCACATATCCAAGTAGACTGGTGACAAATGACTTTTCTTGCGGGAGATGTGCCTTCTGTCCATCTTGCCCTTGGGAAGTAGCAACATCCTGACTTGAGGTTGGGAACAAATACAAGTTGAAATACAAATATGACGATTAGTGGGAATTATTGTTCTTTCAACGTGACTTCTTGGATTAATTCATTTGTCTCCTTTCATTTTTGACCAGGAAAAGAAGTACCGCTTCCAAAACCAGGTGGACAAGATGAAGGAAAAGGTCAAGAATGTGGAAGAAAGATCAAAGGAATTTGTTAACAGAGTGGAAGAAAAGAGTCATGATCTAATTCAGAAATGGGAAGAAAAATCGAGGGAATTCATTGGCAACTTTCTAGAACTGTTTGGGCCTGATGGAGCTTGGGTATGTAATCATTTCACTCGGCCCTGTGGTGATGGGTATTTTGAGTTTATTCTCCTTTTCATGGAAATAAGGGAGTCCCTTTGTTTCTTGTCTTAGTCCAATATGTGGCCTCTGCTTTGGGTATCAGCCTGAGTAACTTCTAGTTCATTCCCTTAGTTTCTGCTTTACCCTTCAATATGGCATCAATAGTACCTGAAGCCAGCAATGGCCTCTCTCCATTTCTCGTCTGGAGACTGGAGTCATTTGGTAATCGTTGAGTGTCTTGTTACCATAGAGGTTGGTTCTGTAGCACATTCAAGTGTCTCGGCTGGAGATGATGCAAAGCGTGGAGAGAAGGGTGAAGTGGGTCAGTGGTCGCTTGACACCCGAGGACAAAAAGGAAATGCGTCCCTTTGTGAGCTTTGTTTTCCAGAACCCCCTCCTCTTTCATTGGTTGGAAGAGAGAGAAGAGGTAGGATTTAGCTCTGCCTTTGTTCCCATCAGCCCCTGGTTTTCCTTTGTATTTCCTTGGCAGGTAAGTGTTGGAGTAAAGGTAAAAATGTCTTACGGGGCTGAGGCTGTGATCTGAATCTCGAAACAGAAAATGTACATGTGCCCCTTCCTGAATTCTACAGACAACTAAATGGTAACTATGGAAAGGGAAAAGAAAATTCCGGAAACCACTTTGTACTCCATTGATATTTCTATTGTATGTACACTTCCAGACTAAATAACCAGTGTTGTCAGTAGAATTCATAGGGGTTCTGTGAAAGAGACTTTAAAAATTAACTTTTCCTTTTAAAACAAAGAAATTATTCCATTTGATTTCTCTGGTTTTAAGTAGCCTAAATTTCCTATTATGACACGAGAAGTCTCTAACAAAATTCACTTTGGCTTAATTATTTTATTGATGGGTTGTCACTGCTGCCTCTCTGCTCATTTGAGCTGGTTCATTATAGGATTATCTAAAAGTAAAACACTCAATTAGTAGTAGAAAAAGAACAATGTTTGAGAAGTTGGAAATGCTTTGTTTAATGCCTGGTGGCCTCTAGGTGATCATAGAGGTGAATGTCGTCGGCCTACTACGTGCTATCGAGCGAGTCAGGAAGGGTGGAAGGCCCTCAAGCGGCTGCTTGAGCCCTCGACGACTTCTAGAAAGAGGGGAGGAGTCAAGGACTGGGTTTTTCATGTTCCCTGGGCCTGTCACAATTTCTAGCTCAGATCGATTTTAACTCATGGGTCATTTATTAATGTTATCGATGCACGGTACTAGGGAAGAAGATGGAGTACAGACCCTGACCCTGATCTCTGTAACGCAGTCTGATAGTCCCTATTAATGTGTGTTCATATTTTCACAACCAATTTTCAGGTTCTGAAGAAACACCTAGCAGTTTTCAGCTGCTGTTCTCTGAATCTATATAGGTATGCATTTGCTTACAGGGATTCGGAAATGTTTTTGCTAAGGAGCCCTGGTATGGTAACTGGAGGGGGGTGTGTGTGTTGGGGGATGTGTTTTCTCCATCCAGAGTGAGCAAAGGCAGGAAGGACTGTAATGTCACAGAGGCTTTGCAGATGCTTGTCGTCTCAGGCCCCCAGTGAAGGTGAAATAGTAGCTCGAATTGTTCTAGGGAAGTCTGGTGACAGCAAGCTGAGGTGATTTTTAAGAAATGAAACCCAGCATAGAGACGGGAGGTTTTTCCTTTTTAAAACTTGCTATTAGTGTCAAAACTGTTATTAACATTAATTTACCGTATCAGCCAGACTTAGACATTACTTTTTTTCTGTTGACATTAAAAGTACAGGAATAGTTACAGGGATGTTAAACGCCAGGATAAGTAATTTGCTTTTCATGAATATGCTATTATAATAATTCTTTATTTGTGGATTGGGGACTGAAACTCATTTCTTAAAATAGAGGATCTGCCTTACCTGCAAATACAGTACCAACACAAATAACCCGAACTGGGAAAGACACAAAATGGGATTTAAGGTATGAAACGTGCTACGACAGGATTGGTATGTAGCCTAGGATGTGGCTTCCCGTGGGTGGGTGCCCCAGAACTGCTTCTGGATTGAATAGCAGTGTGAATGAATGGATGCGTGATGAGGATTTAGTCACAGAACCTGCCAGCATCTGCAAAGGATATGAGGAGGCCTAAATCCTCCATATCTATATGGACATCCGTATCCTGTGGATACGTATCGATGAATAGACACCCTGAGCCTTTTATTGTTTATGGTGCTAGATACAGGGCTTGAGGACAGCTTGGCGATTCAGATTCAGCAGGCGGACTCGGTTTGCTTGGCCCCCTGGACACTGTTTCAACGTCTGTCTTAGGGAGGGCATGTGCATTAGCTCGCCGTGTTCACGCCATTCCCTGTGTTGCCCCCTGACTCCCACACACGTGCTGCTCACCCAGTCCCAGGGAATGTGTGTGTGTGCTCCCCATGGCATTGCGTCTTGAAATTTCCTCAGGTGATCCCCTGCTTGCTAGTAAGGCCGATCCAAACCCTTGCACTCCACAGCTGAGTTGGAAAGTGGTGCTGGTAGTGGTATAGTGATGTCACTGTGGAAATTATAGAGCCAGGTAAAAGCATTGTCCAAATTCCTTTCAAGTCTACACTACCTGTGTCAACCACATGAGAAGGTGGGATTATAGCTGTGTTATAAGGAAAGAACGGCCTAGAAAAATCATGAAGTGCTTTCAGCCTCATAGGCATTTGGATGGATGGATCCTGAGCCCACACCTTTCTCCCTCCTTCCCTGCACTGTGGTTTTCATAGTAGGAATGTCCACAGGATGCAGGCACCACTCTCTCCTCTGGTCAGGGTCTGCTTTGTGGAGAACTGAGGGCTACCAACCCCCTCTAAGGCTTTATGACATAACCTGGCCAAAGCTGGTTTTGGCAACCAGCTATTTAAAGTCAGGACAGGCACTGTTGGCCTTATTCTTAAGCAAGCAGAAACCACACAGCTTGACTGTATTCATTATCTATTGGTATAAAACAAATTACCCCAAAACTTGACTTAAAACCGATCAGAAATCAGCTCCACTGCATGGTTATGACTCAGGGTCTCTCGTGAAGTTGCAGTCAAGCTGTCAGCTGGAACTGTAGTCATCTGGGGCCAGAGGATCTTCTTCCTCACTCACTCGGGTGACTGTTGACTGGATACCTCAGTTCTGCTGCCCATGTGTCCTCACAACATCTCAGGTGGCTTACCTCAGTGAGTGAGAAAAAGGATGAGATACTCTTGTGACCGAATATCAGAAATGACAAATCATCACTTTTGCCATATTCTATTGGCCTCACAGACTAAGCCTGGTACATTATGGGGCACTATTACAAAAGGATGTGAATCCCAGGTGTTGGGGGGGCATCTTTGCAGCTGGCTACCATAGTATCTTGAGAATTTGAAGCAAACAATTTACTTCCCAATCACTACAATAGAATATCTCTTCTCATTGATTCAGTCTGATTGAAAAATCTCTGGGCTTTGATAACTCCTCACCTAAATTCTACTTATTTAAATGCTTGATTATTATAACTAGTCTCGACTCATACTCAAAAGTCAGCCTGTAATCCAGCCAGAGCTGCAAAGGCAGCCTTCCCAACAGAGCTTGGTATTCTCTTTGGACAATGTGTCTCTGACAGATACAGTCTTTGGACTGTCTGTCTTCTTTAAAGTCCCTCGTTTGCTAAGGAGTCCCCTGGTACTGTAACTGGAGGTGGGGGGGATGTGTTTTCTCCATCCAGAATGAGCAAAGGCAGGAAGGACTGTAATGTCAGAGACTTTGCAGATGCTTGTCTCAGGCCCCAGTGAAGGTAAAATAGTAGCTCGAATTGTTCTAGGGAAGTCTGGTGACAGCAAGCTGAGGTGATTTTTAAGAAATGGAGGGACTTTAAAGAAGCTAAATTTAATGATTTATTGAAGTAACATTGTTTTACAGCATTATGTAAATCAACATCTATATATACTACATTAAGCTCACCACTTAAATGTGCAGTTCTAGCTTCATGTCATTGACCCACCCTTATCTTCTGGTAACCTCTAATTTGGCCTTACAGTATCACTGTTTATTTTTGCTTTATTTAGTTCATTTTATTTACGTATCATGAGTGAAATCATAGGGTGTTTTGTCTTTCTCCATCTGCCTTATTTCACTAACTATAATACCCTCTAAGATCCATCCAGGTTGTTATAAATGGCAGGATTTCATTATTTAGTAGCTGAGTAGTACTCCCTTGTGTGTGTATATGTACATACACACACACACACACATCTCTCACATCTTTATTCACTCACCAACAGATGGGCTCTTGGCTGTTTTAAATAATGCTGCAGTGATGTCTAATTAGTTTTTTTCCTATTCTTTGGGTAAATACTCATAAGTGAGATAACTATATCATGTGTAAGTTCCTATTCCATCTCAGATTGTATAATTCTAATATATCCACCTCTTCTAGGTTGTTGAACTTATTAGCCTATAAACGTTCCTAGTAATCTCTTATTATCCTTTGAATTTCTGTAATGTCTATTGTAACATCTCGGTTCAACGCATTTTCTCACATTCTTTTTAAGATAAACCTCTAGCTAAGCTCACTGTTTTTTGAAGAGCCACCTTTTGGTTTTACTATTTTGGACTGGCTTTTTGATTTCTATTTCATTTATTTCCTTCTACTGCTTTGGGTTTTTGTATATGGTTATTTGAGCTTGCTCTTATTCCTGTGGTACTTTATATACTTCCAAACACATTCTAGGAGGCAAACATGACACTATTACCAAATCTAAAAGACAACTACAGGCCAATTTCCCTAGTGAACAGATGCAAAAAAAAAAAAAATCTTAGCAAACAGAATCCAACAAGGTATTAAAAGGATTATACACCATGACCAAGTGAAATTTATACCAGGACACAAGGGTGGTTCAACATCTGACAATCAGTGTAATTCCCCACATCAATTTAAAGATAAAAAGCATATGATCATATCAATAGAAGTCAACATTTTTGATAAGATTCA